AAAAGCTGACAAACAGTAAGGAGGAAAAGGCTCTTGACTGCACTCATTTCATTTTGCAATGCTCACCACACCACGAAAGAAAGCAAGCTTTCCACCATGGTGAGGCAGAGAGTCACAAGCACACTTAAAATGCAAATCTAATCTTAATGCAGCATTCCAGAGTTCAGATTGCATTTCATAAAACTGCATTCTATCTTTCTTACAACAGAATCCAGAAACAGAGCTGTAGTAAAACATGGCAAAGGGGTGTCCATGGGTGTGCACATGTGCGTGTTCCATGTGCACACTGAGAAGAGCCAAGGAATTGGCACTGCCTACGTACTCCATGTTGCTTTCACAAAATATCGCTAATTACGGCAAATTGACCCTATAACAAAAATAGCACTTCCAGACTGACTCATTACCCACCCTTTCTTTGATTGTGGGAATCCACTTTTGTAAACATTGAAGGCAAACAACTTGAAAGAAGCAGCCAAGGATTGAAGCCAAAGTAAATAATGGAATAGAATGAGCCTAGACACTAGGCATGGAAATTCCAGACAGCAACAGGAAAATGTCATGTCTAGTATCTGGTTTGGTTTCAAAAATGTTAACAAGTTCAGAAATGTATGGATTGCTCTCTTTAATTATTCATGCACCAGAGAAAATGATTTATAGGACCACAGAATATAACAGCAAAATCAATTTCTAAGACCATATTTTCTCTAGGTAAGTAAATCAACAGACGTTGCAGATTATCATTCACGAGATATGTATAAAACTTCTGTTTTTTTCTAGGCAACTCCCATGATTAATGATGAAGCAGAATGCCTTGAGATACCTAGGGTAGCGTGATGTGTTTATTCTTTTCTTTACTTATTACAGACGTAACTGCATGGAACCAGAATCCTGTCAAGCCAATCACTTACATGTAGAAAGAACAGTTTGAATTGAATGAGTACATGGAGATTCTTAAGAAGATTATGCTCTTCAGAAAAATGTACAGTAAAATATCACTAAGGAATCTCTACAAAGGACGAAGGTGTCTAGAGAACAGCCACACATAAAAACACTTGATGGATGCGAATGGAATAAAACAAATTCAGCGTTGTATCATTAGCCCCCACTTCTCTCTTCAACTGCAGATCCATGCACCTAGCTGGTCAGTCCACTGGACGTCTCCTGGATGCCCCACTGGTACCTCTGAGCCTTCACAGCCACAGCTGATCCCTCCCCTACCTTTTCTGTTTCCCATATCAATATACAGTTCCATGATCCCCTCAAATGCCCAAGTCAGAAACTTGGAAGTCATCCCTTCTAGATTCCTTCTTCTCCCTCTTTCCTCACATTCAATTTATTGCCAAGTCACATCAATATAGCTTGCTAATATCTCTCAAATGCACCCATTTCATTTCATTCCTACTACTCTGATTCCCTCTCATCTGGGTTACTGCCATAGTCTTTTAATTTGCTTTTCTAAGGCTTGCCTTCCCTAATCCATTTTCCAGCTTGCAGACAGAGTAAACTTTCTAAAATAGTGATCTGGTCAATGGTGTTGCTCCTCTACTTTAAAAAACCTTCAGTGGTTTTCAGTGTTCTTCAATTTTGTCAAGGACACAAACTTGTGGGCCCTTGGGTGGTAATGACAGCAGAAGACTTGGCCCCCAGTTTCCCATCAGTCCCATCAGTGCGATGATTTGAATACGGTATTGTCCCCACCAAAACTCATACTGAAACTTGGTCCCCAATGTGGCAGTGTAGGCAGGTGGAGCCTTTAAGATTAGACTGTTAAGATGGATTAATGTCTTTCTTGAGAGACTGGGTTAGTTCTCTTGGGAATGGATTTGTTCCCCAAGAGACTGGGTTGTTATGAAGCAAGGTTGCCCCTCATGTTTGCCCTCTGCACGCGCCTGCTTCACCTTCCGCTTCTCCGCCATGTTATGACACAGCACAAGGCACTCACCAGAAGCCAACCAGACACGCCATCTGATCTTGAACTTCCCAGCCTCCAGAATTGTGACTTAAATAAACTTCTTTTCTTTATAAATTACCCAGTCTCAGGTGTTCTGTTACAGCAACACAAAATGGGCTAAGACAGAAAGCGAGGTGATCCCTACTCACCCCATCATCCACTCCTGCGCTTGCCTCACCCCCGCAGCAGAGGAAGAAGATTGTATCTTTGGTTTCCATATGGGAGCTCAAAATTTGTCTTACTCTAAGATATGGTCTTACGGAATATTCATATTACCAAAATTCTTCCAATGCAAATACATAATGAGTTCCAAAGGCCTTTGTGCTTTATCTCAACCAGAAAACTTATCACGAAAAACATTGTGTTCATAGAAAAATGGGCTCTAAATTCCAAACAACCAATTTACCAATAGACTTTTGTGATGTAATGATTTGGCATTTCCCATTCAATGAATTAATTAAATCTTCCAGTGTAAGAAGGTCGCCAGAGGTTTACAAGGTTGGACTTGACAGACATGACAGTTCAAAGACTTCTGCATCCCTGTTGCTGGACACTATCATCTGGTCCAAATTGATTTTTCTCTTCTACAGGGCCCCAGGGGACTCTAACAAAATGCCTTGTTAACAGCTAGATGTGCCATGCCTGCAGGATGTTCTGGTCTGTTCATCCAGTAACCCTATCAGAAAAGGCAGTCAGGACAGTCTGGCATGATTTATCCTGGGTGAAGCCTGGCTGACTCTTATGATCATCACTTCCTTTTAAAAATGTTTCACCTCATCATTTGAATCATGCTTTCTACAGTTCTTTGTCAAGATCAATGTGAAGTTGAGTGGTCAATGATTCCCAGACACTACCTTCTTTTCCCTTTGAGGGAAAATGAGAACATTACTCTCTCTAGCTCTCTGGCAACTTTCCATTCTCCACAATTTCACAAAGATGACACCCAGCTGGCCAGCGATGCCACCTTTCTAGTTCTCTCATTGCCTTGGTATATAATTCGTCCAGGTCTGGAACATTTTCAGTGTCCTTTCCTAATATCCTAGGAACACACCAGACTGCCTCAAGCCCCTCCCTGTTGGGCATGATCCACCAGGTACAGAAGGTATTCAATGACTGATATCACCCAGCCATGTTCTCCTAAGGTTTTGCCCCCTTCCACTTCACCTATCAGCTCCTTGGGGTTGGCCAGAATTTGTCCCAGAACAACAATTTACCTGAATTATTTTCAGTAATTTCAAGGAGATGAATATGTCAATGCAACACAGTGAACCCATCATTTCTCTGAGGCCATCCAACCTCATTTAATTCCTTACTAACCAACACAGACTTTAATGAGTGAGTACCATCTGAGATAGAATCTTATTCTAGTACTATAGCTATGTGAAACCACAGGACTACTTCCTACCCCAAAGGTGCCATTCCTTCAATGATTCCTCAACTATTCTCTTCACATAATCTTTTATACTAAAGGTGATGGGTGAACATATTTGACAGAAAAGCAATCATGACAAAATGAGAGACAGATGCTAGTCGAGCCAGTGTGATGAAACGGCCTCAACTGCACTTGAGGTATAGCACATCCCTGGGATCTCATGCCCCCCGTCAATTCTGATGAAGTTAAAATATGTGGTAGCAGAGCTGATGACAAAAATTTGTCACATAATCCTTAAAGAATCATCACTGTTTTTCAGAACTGGAGAAGAACCAATGCTGTTCACATCTTACATAAAGTGCCAAAGCTGATCTCAGAAAATCAAACCACTAATCCCACCAAATGACTGGCTTCCCGCCTCACCTTTCCAAAGGAACA